CAGAAGGAGACGTTGCAGACGTAGGAAGGCAACCGAACGACATGAGCCGTGACGTTAGGCTCATTTATTTATTATTTCCTCAGATTGAAGCACTATCAATAACCATGTGCAAACAAGGCGAGAAGGAGTCGCAAACAGCAGCAAATTTCATAGGGGAGCAGGAGAACATCTGCGAAACCAGACGATGGACGATGAAGACGGGGAGGGACGTACATACCTTCGATGTTTTGGGGTTTTGGTTTATCAACTTTACGGCCTGTCTCCATCCTTGTTTATGGTAGTAGATCCATTCAGAGAAATAGGCACTGATGTGCTCAAGCAGCTGGAGACGGCGCATAAATATGGATTCCTTTGTTTGTTACTCCTGACTCCATCCTGATCAGGATTGTATACGCTCAGATTGCTATACTGTCTGGAGCAAGTAGAGGAAGAAGGAGCATTTGGGGGCATGCAGCCCAGTGACAGTTAGAATGGGCGGGTACCAAAGCCTCCTCTCATTTTCTTATTTGATAAAAATACATTTCTTAGAATGATTCTCGACTTTCGTTTTGGCATTTGCACTGCTGTTATCCTGGAATGCTGTTAGTTGTGGGATTCTCCCTGCTGTTTGCTAAATTTGCTGTGAGAGTCAAAGAATCAACGAATCAAAAATACAAACAACGTGTAGGTACAGGCACATATAAAATTTCTGTTAGTCATCTAATATGTTTGTGGAGTGCCTTGTGACATTATTTCTCCAGTTATTCCGCTCAGAATAAAGAAATAAATTTCCCCCTACATGCGGAATTCTTCTTACATTTTTATGTGCCATTATGTACATATATTGTAGATCGATTATATAGATTTATTGTTCCCCCTAAATGAGTCAATTTTCCGGGTCAATTCTTTTGTTATCGCGTCCCAAAATGGAACTATTTTGCATAAATCAAAACTCTTAACATTCTCGTAGCGTATCATGCATACATAGCATACATATGTATATACGAGTATAATATATATATACTCGTGTACCCTTAGCCGTGTATCCCTTGTGGGCCATTTATTTGGTTGTGCATTCACTTTTTTTTTTTGGTTTTTGTCATATTTTTTGTTGGCCAAAACATGATTTAGTGGCGCAACCCCTTTTTGGCGCCCCTTTGGCCCTGGCTTAATGATGTCAATCGGCGCGTGCTTTGGCTTTAAACTAAGGCCGCCGTCGCATATTTGCCAAGTTTATTTGACCAAAAACAGATGATTAGAGGCAGCAAACCCAACCCGGCCACGAGCCCATCGCACATTCATCATAAATGCGGAAATGTGGATGTGGGGGGAAAGGTAACATGGAAAAGCAATCGTCAGACAAAAAGGGGCCAAAGGACACAGCAGCAGTGGAGTAGCCCCATTCCGCTCTCCACCCTCCCAAAAAAAAAACTCCAAAGGATGCTTGCCAAAAAATTACATGGTCCATTGGTCAGCAGCAACAGCAGCAGCAGCAGCAGCAGCGGTGGCGTAGGGGCTAAGAGCACTAGGAACCAGGCCCGCAGCAACCCTTAAACAACATGCTGGCTTATCCCCCAGACCTCCATCCATCCCTTCCCCTCCCACTCGTATATTCATAAAGGAAGAGCAAAAAAAAAAAACACCTTTGATGTATGTAATTTTGTTACCATTTTTTATGCCCCTCATTCCAATGGAATTTTGTTGTTTTGTTTCCTCCATTTTTTCGGCCATAATGTAGAGCTCTCTGTAGAGTCATCTCTCTCTCTCTCTCTCTTTTTCTCTGTGTGTATGTGTGTGTGTCTCTTTTCTCTGTATGGCTGTGTGTGTGTGTGTGTGACACAGAAAGCAAGTTGTGCGAGGTGCGAAACTGTGACGTAAGCAAAGAGGCACAACCCGCCAGTGGAGCAGTGGAGAAGCAGTGGCCATCAAATTGGGTTATCCCCACAGCAGTGCACGCCAAAAAAACGAGAAGAACGAGATTTTGAAGCCTTTGCGAAGGGGGGGGGGGGGGGGGGGGGAATACTTTTTTCAGTGGCTTTTGCAGCCACAAGGGAAATGAGATTTGCGCCACGAAAGTGTATGCAACATGTCCGTGTCAGTTTCAAAGCGAGTATGAAGCAGGATGGAGCAGCAGCCGCACTGGATTATATATGCCGAAATACAGAGAAAGAGTGTGAGAGAAGGAGTGGTAGGGAAGGGAGGGAGACCGGAGTCCAGGTGATTGATTTGTTGGATGGATTTTGGCTGGGAATCAATTGTGGTTGATATTTGAAATTCAAGTTGAGCCAAAAAATACCACCAAAACCATAAATATTTTATGCGACTTTCGCAACTTGAAAACTTTGTCCTGGCGATGAAAATCGATGGCACCACCAGACTGGATATATTCTACAGATCATGTAAATGTAAATACCTTCCACTAATTGAACAATTGTTAAGGATCTAGTGGAAAATGTAAGTGTATTGTGACATAATCAAATAATTATCGTGCCATAAGGCAATTTCCATGGAGGAAGAAACACTTTGCCGTCACTCTCGGACCAGAGAACTTAATTACATTAAACTAAATGGGCGAAGAGCAGAAAGACTGTGTGACAGTTCGCTTAATAAGTATGCAACCAGCGACAGGGACAGGTCCAGCTCCAGGTCCAGGACCAGGCCCAGGCACGATTCCCACAAGCTGACAAACTCATCACAAAATTTCACAGCCACTTGGGAAGGCAGAAAAGCGCAAAATTTTTATTGTGTTTTCATTAGAGGCGCACAGGACAGCACAGCCAAATGGTCAAGGAAAGCCACCAGGAAACCATTGCTACCATTGCCACCATTGCCCCCATGGCCTAGGACATGCTTAAGGGGCGTGGCTGGAAATGGGAGGAAGCAGAGCAATGAAAACTTTTGAAGAACTCCATTGCCGGGGCTCAGACACGCGCGAATGCCGCAAAAAAGCGTAAGAAGCAACAAAAACCTAATGAACAACGATGGTGTGGTGTGGTGTTTGTGTGTGTCTGTATCTAAAGGAGCGTCTTGGGGGAAGTGTGGTGCGATGGCCAGGCGAAAGCCCAAGTCAAAGCCCAAATCTCAAGGGCACGCTTCCGGAAATAAATAAATAAAACTGGAGCTCCACTGAAAGCAATGAATGTTTTCCTTGCCTATGAAAAGCACCAACAAGAAAAAAGAAAAGAAAACCTTTTCGCATTGAGAATATAAATTCTCTTGAAATTTTAATGATACAAAATATTTTTGTGCACACAAGAAACTCTTCATATTTTCCCACTCCACCCGCATACCAATTCACCTCCGGTTTCCATTCTGTTTTAGTGTCTGCCTTGTACTTGATTTTGTAATTTAAAATTAATTAAAAAGCAGTGGAAATCAAAGCTTATGTGGGAGCCTTCTGCTGTTGCTGTTGTTGCTGTTGTTGCTGTGCTGCTGCTGCACCTTGAAGTTTAATTCAACACACAAAATAGGAAAACAGCAAAATTGTTGGTGTATTTGATGAAACTTCAAACTGTCAGAATAGAGGGGGGAAAACCGTAAGGAAAACATTCTGGAGCAGTACTTTCGAGTGTCGAGAGGATATGAATCCTTTGTGATGCGTATAGCTCTGGAATTTTGCAAGTTTTCGCTCTGTGCCTGTGCAATCTGTGCTAAAGCTTCAACATAGACAGAAAGTTTTTGTTAGCCCAGAAAACCCCACGAATATGTAGAAAATTGTGAATATTTTATGCACGAAATTAAATCACAGTTTTCAACATTTAACAGCGAGCGATGGGGAAATGGGTTCCCAAATAGCGTTCCGTCAAAACAGCAGCACCAACAGCACCAATAGAACACCTCAAATCTCTAAAAGTGGCGGTAAAGAGGGATGTACGATTTCGTATAATTAAAAGGAACAAACGCCTCGGGTTTCGGCCAGTCATCGATAAATCAGAGCTTCTCTGTCCGCTCCTCTCCACTCCTCTGTAATGCTTTACGCTGGGGACAGACGCAATCGCAGCTCGACAGCTGACGACAGCTGATTGATGATCCGCAAAATTACAAATTACACACACAAATGCTATCCCACGAAAAAGAATAGGGCAGGAGGTAGGAGGAAACTGGCAGATAAACATCGCCCCAGACCGAACGTAACACGCCATCCAATTCACTTAGGGCGTTGCACCTTATTTGCTTTTGGCCAAAATACATTTCGAAGAGGAAGGAGGAGTGGAGATGCTGGAAATTTGATTGATTATTTCCATTGGAGAGAAATACAGCTGCCGCAATTAAAATGAAGATGAAATCATTTATAATTGTGTGTGTCTGAGATGGGCGTTGAGATGTCGCCAAACACGGTAGCAAAAAATCAATACATATTCTTGAATCTGAAAAGTACTCACATACTCACACATATACGTATGTATGTATATCCCCTTGTACCACTCTCAGTCCATGACTGAGAGAAACCTACGGTTCCATGTTGTACGAGTATGTCCGACAGTTGTGGGAATTGGAACAGCTGCTGACGCTTTCAATTTCCTTCCCAGTTTTCGCCCGAACAAACAGCGAAGAAAAAGCATTACGAAAATATCAAATTTCCGCTCGCATTTGTAATCTATTGTAATTTGTTACGAAGTTGGCTCTACGGCAAGCGATTGGGGAGCGATTGTCGTTCAATGATTAATTACTCAGGAAGAAAGAAACACACCTAATGAGGTCAATCATTCACAGATACTTTCCATCACTCTGACCCTGATGCAGCGCCCAATCACAGTCCTAGACGTGGGCCTATTACCTACAGGGATATGTATTTCGGGATGTAGTTCTTCCTCTCGTAAGATAGCTACAAATTAAAGATTTATATATGTACATGCGAGTGTTTGCCGCTCTCTAGCAGATGAAACGCGTTTTTGGGTGAACAATCTACTACTAGAAGTTCTCTCTTTGGGCTTTGGATGTAAGATAGACTCCTAGACACTCCTTTGGATCTTCCCCTTTGGCTGCATTTCTGTCACGCTTTCTAATAATTTTTGATTTGATTTTTATATCGAATATAACTGAAAATTTAATATGGCAATCTCAGATCGCAAAAAAGACGTAAAATCATCCGAAGGTGATACAGAAAATTTAAATGTTGCCCCTGGCCGCCGATTCTCTACGTCACTCCCGTTTTCTGATAGTCCCACACACGCGGATCCATCTCGAAGCGTTTCAGACGCTCGTAGTACTGGCCAAAGAAGAATCCCTCCAGTTGATAGATCTTGTAGATGCGATAGCTCTTCTCGTCGTTGTATTTGTTGTTATATGCCCAGACGCAATAATTGGGAAAAGCCCACACAACGGACTCTATTCCCCCAGAATCCATGTCACAGGGCAGATGCTTACTGTCGAAGTCGAAGGGCACCAAATCCTTGGCAGAGTTGGTTGAATTTCCACTACTATTGGTGCGGGCCAAGTGCTTGATGGAGCTCATATATGGGTACTGAGGCAAAAGGGGTGGCGCGACCACTTCTTCCACGGGTTCACCGCGCTCCCTCCGCACCTTCGCCCAATCGGTGGCGTTAACCTTTTTCCCGACTGGAATTTCACTAGGTGACTCTGTGCCATCGGATGGTTTCTCATCCGGAATATTTCGCGAACTGGTACTCCGAACCAGGAGCGACTGTCGATGGAATGGATTATGGATTAAATCGATTCATATAATTGGCAATGAATCGCAGCTTTTTACCCCAAGAAACAGCAACGCCAACAGGATTAGTTTCCCCCTAAACGGCAACTTCATGTTTGGTTCAAATCAGTTTTAATTACACTAAAATTTGGACTTGTTTCGTGTTGAATTGATCGACTGTCAATGATGATTTGTACAAATGAAATGTACAGACAACTAACTCAAGGGTATCCCGATACCCGATACCCGATACCGTTGATGAATCAATAAAATCAACCATCAAGTCCAATGAGTACATTAAACACGTAATTTTATTGACACTAGAGTACACCTTAAGGGCACCTATTGGCCTTTAGGCCAAACATAGCCGTGCGGATCGAGTTCGTAGCGCTTCAGGCGCTCGGCGTACTGACCAAACATGAATGCCTCCAGTCTGTAGATCTGCCAGACACGCCAGAATCCCTCATGGCTCCACCTGCCGTTGTATGCCCAATTACAGACACTGTACATATTATCAATGATGTGATGGACATTTTGAACATCGACGTCGCAGAACAGATGTTTTGTATGAAAATCGAATGGTATATCCACCCGGGTTTCACGCTTGCGCCGCCGGATATGCTTTATGGTGGATGGCGATGATTCAATGGTAACCGAAAGGGTAACCGAAGGGGTAGCAGAAACAGTGGCAGAAGTAGCAACGGCAAGGGATGCTGCCACACTAGTGGTGTTCTTCTTCTGATCAGTTGCGGGATCGATGATCGAGGTGGAGATGTTGTGGCTAGTGTCGCCGATAGACTGCTGCTGCTGCTGCTGCTGTGTTGGAGCAATACTCATGGAAATACTCATGGCACCCCCTAGTGGCAGCTGGCACTGCAACGTGGAGATGTGATGGATCACCATGATGGCTACTCGGTAGTTCGAAGGACTTACCATTAGGACTAGCTGCCATATCAGAGCTAATGTGTATATCCCAATCATATTTGTGTTTTTTTGTATCGTTTTCGGTTTTGGTTTTATTCAACCCGGGCGTAGTGTTTTGTTCTAGTCCCTAAAAGATCCGACAGCTAAATCAGTGCTACAATAATCAGATAATCTGGCGTAGGCATTATCCGATTGTATCTTTCTCTCTACCCTTACCCTCTTACCCTTACAAATCCAGCCAGCCCATTTAAAGAGTTATTTCTTATAGAACAAGATCTACATTTAATTTTATTTCTGCATTAGTTTTATGGGGACTAGTAAGTAGACTAGAACCCCGAGCCTCTGTAGTCGAAGGTGTGCGGATCGAGCTCGAAGCGTCGCAAGCGCTCGTAGTACTGTCCAAAGAAGAATGCCTCCATCATGCCCTGCATATATATGCGCCACCATCCCTCGTGGAAGTGCCTATTGTTTTGCAGCCAAATGCACGTGAAGGGGAAAAAGTCCAGTATCTTATAGGTTCCCGTTTGATCGAAGTCGCAGTGCATATGGTTCGTGAAGAAATCAAATGGTATATCCACCAGAACTTCACGCTTCTTGCGACGTATATGCTGCACACTAGATGGCGAGGATGGCGAGGCAGACACTGACACAGACACAGACACAAGAGTAGCAGTTCCATCGGCTAATGAAAGGGCAGTGGAGTTCTTCTTCTGTTCGCCTGCATCCAGGTTGGAAGTGGAAGTGTCATTCCTGTTGCTCCCCTCGATCTCCTGCTGCTGCGTCGACGCAATGGAGACACTTTTGGCATGCCCCAAAGGTAGCTGCGACTACAATTAAATGATGAGGATCATTTGAGAACGATATCTCACAGTAGCAAAAGGATTTACCAGTAGGAAGAGCTTCGCAATGAGCGTTAAGTAAATAAAATACAATTTGGGATTCATGTTTAAATTTCAGATATGTACGATACGTGGCTACACAACAATAAATACTGATTGGAATACTGAACGAGCTCAAAGATTATGTGAAAACTAAATCAATGCCCATATGTTTCCAATAAATGAATTATAATTGATGCTCAGATACAATCAATGCTAATGACATGTATTGGACTGAGTGGGGAGTGCAACAGCCAATACCCGAGTTCTCTACGCGCTTCACTCTGCGTCATAGTTATGGGGCTCCGTCTCGTAGCGCTTGAGACGCTCGTGGTACTGGCCAAAGAAGAATGCCTCCAATTGGTACATCTTGTAGACGCGATAGTAGCCCTCGGTGGTGTAGCGATTGTTGTAGCTCCAGATGCACTGGTTGGGAAACGCCGTAATGTAGCGCCGAATACCTCTTATGTCCATGTCACAAGGCATGTGTCCTGTCATATAGTCCAGCGCAATTACTGGAATATCAATAGTCCTTCTTCGTATGCGCCTGACGTGTACAGCGGATGCTGCCGGTGCCGGTGCCGGTGCCGGGCCGGCGCCGTTGACGTTGTCGTTGCTGTGGCTATTGGTGCGGTTTCCACAGCTGCAGTTCCATTGGCCTGGGCCTTGGTCCCGTTTCCAGATACATTCAGTGCGAGTGTTACGTTCTGTTTGGGTGGGGAACTGGCCATGACGACCAATGGCATCTGTGTAGATCGTTGGTTAATGATCAATATCTTAATGAGCCTGCGCACTCACCAGAACGATGAAGGCCCCAATGAGCATTTGAGCGCGAATCAGCAGCATCCTGCGAATGGAATGGGAGCTGTGTGTGTGCTTTTTTTTCGGGTGTATGCCAGAGGCGGGCGAATATATCTAATGAATGCCTCTTCTAGGCCTGCTATCTATATTAAATTCCCTGAGAATCCTTGAAAAAAGCATCAATTACCCCTCCCCCAAACCAAACAACCACCAAGTGTGCGAGAGTTCCAAGAGGAGGCGGATGTACCATGGACTGACAGCTGAAAGAACGCTAGGATATTAGAAAAACGCACACACATGCTGGCCAAGGACTCCCAGTGCCATGTAAAGAGTGACAGCCAAGTGTCATATAATGGCCAGCGTTCATAATGGCCGCGCGTCGGATCGATTTGTGGCGCTGAAATGCGAGCAGCATTTCAAGTGTGAAAATAATATGACAGCCGTAATCAAGGCGTTGATAGCAGAGATACCGAAGGCAACTGGAACTAGCCGCAGCCCCAGGATCTAGCATCTACACGCTACGTACGAACGATTATGTAGCTTCACTCTTCCATATCTTCTCCATCTTCCTGCCTTCATTCTACCATATTGATTTCAAGTTGAAAGGCTGCAGGAAATGGGCAAAAATGGCTGGCGGAAATGTTGAACGTTGCGGAGATGGGACCGACCGAGCAGGCAACAGTAGTGGGTGAGGGTTGGGGTTTGACTGTTAACACATGTCATTGGCCCATAATTGCATGACTACAGAAGGAGCTGGCGGATGGGGCAGGGGCAGGGGCAGGGGCTGGCAGAAAGGGAACTCAATTTGCAGGGCCAGAGCCCAGAGCCCGGAGTAAAATGAATGACAATTGTTTTGACACGCATGTTTCGACAGAGAGAGAGAGGGAGAGAGATGGTCAGGGCAGATAGAGGAAATTTTCAGAGAAAGAGAGAGAGAGAGGAAGACAGATGAAGATATCTCCATCTAATTGAATTTTTGGATGCGAGGGGCCCCCCAATCTCTTTGTTGGATTTATTTGAAAATCATTTTCACGAATCTCCTGTTTGCTTGAAAGCCAAAACTTTATTGGGCCAATGGGCCATTGGATTAAAGCCATACAAGATATGTGTAGCTGGGAATCTGAAAATGACATTTAATTTGTGCCCCACAGTGTCCCAAGGGGTGGTGTGTTGTGTGGGACTTGTGGCCTGTGGCCATCCAAGGAGTCCGACCACCTTAACACCTGCTCTTGCGGCTCCGCCCACTGCCACTGTCACTCCTCCTCGTACTTCACAAAGCACGCTAAATGCTTTAACAGTTAATTTAGAATCCAATTAAGAAGAGCAATCCATGGCGGTCCTTGGCCCAAGCTCTGCTTATGACAACTTCAACCTCAGCCACAGCCGCAGCCAGTGCCACCGCCTGAACCTGCCCTGAGGGATGCATGGAATGCAAATATTTCGACAGCGCATAGTGTGGGTACTCGTGCTGCTGTGGTGCTGCTGCTCGGATCCCGGCCAAATGGGACGCCTAATTAAGCCTCAGGCTACGGGACGTGGCATGTCACTCAGAGGGCAGAGGAAGATTGATGATTGCCAACAGGGAGCGGGCGGGGAGTGGCGCCGCCTCAGGTTGCAACCGAAATTCGCAGCAGGCGATGGGGTAATGGCCATATACTCGTCCTCGTACTCGTCCGAGTATAAGACATTGCCTTACACAATTTTCGCTTCCATTTCCCAGGGAAATTCCGAGACTTAAACAGGATGAGCCGTTTTAAAAGTGGAATTTCCACGAGGCCATAAGTTTTCGACGCTGCCAGGTCCCGTGTGTGTGTGTGTGTGTGTGTGTGTGTGTGTGGAAAGCGCACTCCATCTTCGACTTTGCCAATAAAGTGAAATATCCCTCCACTATATCCCCATAGCCCTGCGATACTCCCCACTCCTGGAGATTGCTGCTGTGTTGGCACATATTTTCGCCTGCTGTGCCAGCAAATTTGTTGCAAGACCACACAACACCACACCACACACTGGAGGAGAGAAGCTGATGCAGCACCAGCAAACTGCCGCTGATTGGGCCACACACACACACACACAAGCTCTCACATGCTCTCTTTGCCCACATTCTTTGCTGCAAGTTGTTTTTCATTTTCATTTTGTTTTTGCCTGCTGCTTCGCTGGTGCGGACGCTTCAGCCGCCGCGACCCTTTTGTTTGTTTGCGCTCTGGCGATTCGAAAAAACTGTAGCAACAGCAGCAGCAGCAGCAGCAGCAGCTGGCGGAGGGAGGGTGAGGGGAGAGTGCCTTCGTGGCACTCCTAAATGCTGAATGCAGAGAAGTATCTCACGGATGCACTCAGGGCATCCCTTTTGCGCCTTTTTTTTTATAATTTTTTTGGAAGAGTTCTTATTTTCTTAATTATACCTTTGAGGCCAATTACAGGTAGAGGGGGGGGCCAGCCTTTTGGGGTTTTTAGCCACCCCCTTAATTTTCTACCTTTCCACAGGACAAGAAACCGGAGGAAACAAGCCCCAGGGATGTGAGCAGGCAGGCACCTTGCATCGTGGAACATAACCAAAGCGCAGCTAACAAAATGTTTATATGCCAGAGGGTGTCTGCAGAGCGGGCTGCTGGTGGATAAGGGCAGCAGGAAGGTGTAAGGGATGAGGCATGCTCACGTATATGCAGTTATAAATTGCAGTTCGTGCGCACTGTTGAAGGCAAACACACACAACCAGAACGAGAGCACCAAACAGCAGAAGGATGAGCCAGAGAGGGAGAGAGAGAGAAGGATCCACACTGCCACACATCTGTGTGGGGAACTTCTATGTGTTTGTTTGTGTGTGTGTGTTTATGTGGCAGAAAAATGTTGTTGTAATAGAATTAACGAAATACCCAAAAGTTTTACTACAATTAAATATTTGTGCGGTCAGTCGTGCAACAGAAACCCAACGAGAGAGAGAGAGAGGGGGAGAGGGAGAGTGGGTGAGAACTATAGGATCCATATTCCAACTAAATGATACCCAATATTACGGAAAAATGATACGAAAATTAAGGTATTTACTGCAAGATTAAATTTCCATTGCACTCAAATGGAAAAGAAATAGGAATTTTCCTGTCAGAGAATTAGTGTGTGTGTCGGTATTTAACAGATTTTCTCCAAGTAAATATATACATGTATGTATGTTGCAATGCATTCAATATACCCGACAGCCTCCCTCTATGATTATCTGCTGAAACCATAATACTATTTTTCCCATTTAAAAATCGATTTGCTTAATTTCGTATTTAATTGCTGAATTGAGCGTAATGCGATTGTGTGGCAGTGACGGGGACAGGGGCTGTATGTATCGCCATAAGCCATTGATAATTGCAAAGGATATAATTGCATTGCCAATTGATGTAAGATTCTGGTTGGTTCCCGCTTTAAAAAGCCTTCTCCCGAGATATTTACTGTAGCTGTTAGTTGCGTTCAAATGTGCAACAAAGCTGCACGTTAATTTCTCACACCGAATTGGCTCCGTTGCAAACTCGTAATTAGTGCTTTGGCAGCACTGCATCAAATCCAATGAAGCGCATGCATTCTCTCTCTCTCACTATAAATTCGTTGTGCGTATGGGTCTCTAATTTGTACTTAGATACTTCCATGGAAATACTCCAATTAGGAACCTCCATTGTGGTCAGAATGGCCCTCCCCTCCCCTCGTGATGCTGTTGCTGCTGCTGCATCTGGAGTCTGTCAGATTCGTGTGACAAATGTGCTCGTGGCTTAATCGGATAGAGTATCTGCCTGGAGCAGACTCTGGTTCTTGCTATATTGGATTTCATGTAATGCGCTGTCCGTTCGCGACTCTTGTCTCTAATTAGTTGCCTTTTTTTCCACTCCCATCTCTTGGGCTCTGATCCAACTTGGAGCTTCTCCTGTCGTCCAGCTTTGGACGAATGTTTGGAAGCGCGAGATTGATGGCAATTCATTTTTTATGCACGTCCCGTCTGTCTGTCTGTCTGTCTTGGAACGTGAGCCGGATAAATGGGTACGTGGATGTACAGAACACTTGGAAGCACCCAGTGCTCTGGGATTATATTAAAAGGTATTGCATTAATTAGATACGAACAGAAAGACCCTTAGTTTTTCACAGAATTCAGAGAAGGAAATGCACAAAAGGCAATTAGAGTATCTGAAAGTGTTTCAAATTAAACCTGATAGTTGATAGTTTAAGTTTTATACAATAAATAGATGTACTATACATATGTACATAGGTATAATATATTCATGGACGATGAGATTGTCAAAATATTGGCTTAAACTTTCGATGCGCATAAAAATTGCGAGCGAGTTGAAATAATACGAAATGAAGGTGTTTTTCGCAGCCTTCGATGCCAAAAGAATTACCATATTTTCACAGCAAACGAGAGAAAGGATGAAACTATATGGGGAGAGAGGGAGGCAGATGGGGGGAGAAATGGAAATGCAATAAGGGAGGTTCAAAGCACAAAAAGGTGGTAAAAATTGCAACGGAATTGCAAATGCTGTTGACACTTGCACAATGCAAACAATTGCCCAGAATCCACATGCCACACTGCACATCCATCCCCTCATCGCCAATCTCTGAGAAACGTCTACTCGGTTTTATTTTATTTTTTTTTTGCAATTTTGTTTCCCTCTGGGGTGGTTTTTTTTTATTGTGGAATTTTCATGTTTGCGTTGGTTTTGGCAACACTTGATTGCCTTTTGGGCTTTGCCAAAGGAGCTGGAGAGGTGCCAGAAGGACACACAGGATATGGCAGAGAGTATCCCTAATAATTGTGAATCGGTTTTGCATAATCATGCGAATGGACCAGGAAACGGATGTGGAATAAGTCAGGCAGCAAGCTCCTAAGTTCCTTCTCCTCTCTCTTAGTTTTTTGCGTATGTGTGCTTGTGCAACATCTGCAGTACGGACTCCCCTTCCCTTCGTCTCAGCCCATTCTGCGGCTCATAAATCATATTTGTATTTGGATCTCGTGCGATTTGCCGAGGCAGCGAGCCGGGGCCGGAGGCCACATTCAATCAAAATGCTGCAAAATCCCACAAATTTGTTATTCGTCACGTATCCAAACGGAAAGCTGAATGCTGCAGCTGCTGTGGATACAACGGGGAGGAAGGGTGGGGGCGAAAGCCATTCGCTAAAGAGTTTAAAGAGCCAATGAAGGAGTGGCAGGCATCAGCCATCAGCCATCAGGCATTTAAAGTGGCATAATTCTCATATGTAAATATAACAAAATAGAATCATATGTACATATTCTTATGCTTATGGCTCAGCCCTTGAAGCACAGCCGACGATGACTTCCTCCTGCTCCTGCTCCCCTTTTGTGCCCCTCCCCACCCACTGCAACATACAATATGTTGTACATTTGCCAGAGCGACAACTTATCAAGTTTACACTCAACTGAATATCTGGAGAGTCGCCTGGCTGCGAGTCGAGAAGTTTCCCCCCCATTTCATTCGGGTTTTCCACACATCCCTTCTTGCCTGCTCCATTTTCCATAGCATCCCGCTCTTTTCTGCGAAATGCTTATTAAATATTAAAATGATAAGGCAAGCGGTTGTGGGAGTAGGGTCTTGTTGGCTCTAAAAGATAGACAGTTTTCTTTTCCCTTGGCCCTTTGTCCCTGTGTGTGTGTGTGTGTGTGTGTGTGTGTGCTCTCGTGTCTATCATTTGCTGTTTGCTTGTTTCTTTTTCCACTAAGCCGCTTTAGCTCCCAAAATCCTGACGAGCAAAAATACAGAAAAAACAGATACTTCAGAGCGTGAGAGAGAGAGAGCTTAAATTGCTATTTGCTCGGGAATATTTCAGAATTGTTCTCATTAATTTAAATTTAAGTACTCGTAGATATTTTACAAAACAATTAACATACTCGCTTGTGTTGGCTAAAAGGGGTGGGACTAACGGAAAGCTTAGCTCGGAGAATTATACCGTAGATATATGTATGTATGTACGAGTATGTACCAAAAAAAAAACAGTATTCAGAATTCTGGATTGTTTTAATGAAATATTCAGAATCTCTACTCTTTGCTTTTATTTATTTAATATATTTGGTTTCAGTTTTGTTTATCAGAAATATTTAAAGTTTCAATGTTTAATGCAGCATCGTTTTTGTCCCCCCCTCCCTGGCGCACTGTTCGCCTCTTCATATGCTAATGTAGGGCTATCCTCCGTTCATATTTTCCATGTCGCAATCATTTTGTGCGATGTTCTCTTTTCTTTTTTGTGGCATTTCTTAGGTTTTGATTGCAGGCATTTGCATAAGTTAAGGACTGCGCTCCGCTCCTAGCACCATGATGGGGAGGGGGCAGGGCAGGGCAGGGCATTGTCTTGGAACTGGCAAAGCATGAAAATGAAAATGAAAATTCCATGCTGCCCCTCCCTCCTCCATGGCTTCTGCTGTTGTTGTGTTCTTGGAGCAGAAAATATCATATCCTTTGAAGCTTTCCCTCCTAAATTATTAACGAAATAAATAGCGAAGGAGGATGGGCTGCTCGCTGCTATAAGATATTGAAAAAGTTTCTCATTTCCATTTACCATTTTCATTTTTGCATTGCAGACGCAGCGAAAAGGAGCAGCCGTCAGCCAGAAAACATTGAAGAGCGGAAAGTGGAAGAGAGAGTAGCATCCGCATCCTAAACAACAAGCTGGAGGGCATGTCCACAGCCAAAAGGCTGGTGCTCTCGCTACGTGGACGCAAGAACTCGCAGGGCAATTCGGCGACATCCTCCACCCGACTGGTATCTGCCGGCACCTCGCCCGGCCATGAGCTGGAGGAAATAGCCGTTGTCTCTGGGACCGGCACCAGTAGCCATCATTTCTCCTATGGCGGGTGTATTGCCAGCAGCGATGCCGCCGCCTCAACGCCGCGATACTCCACAGGTGGGTGCCACGGGCTTGCCCAGTGGCCATTGCTAACAGTTACCTGCCCCCCACCCCCCTTCACAATTCCAGTTGATCAATTATGGAGTAGGAAAATGTAGCACCTTAATCACATTTTAAATAGATCCTCCACAGCCACCACCAACCACCAATACCACCGCCACCACCAAATCCACACCAAAAGTGACCTGTTGTGACCCCCAAAATCCACCATAGCCCGCCTGCCTGCATGCCTGCATGCCTGGTAGAAGACTTAACTCGTATTGCATCTCATTTAGAAATCAAGACGGGGGAAAGGAAAACTCGAGCCAAAGCAATTTTCCCGCAGCAGTCAAAGGAGTGCATTTATTGTATTTGCATTTTTATGGGTTGTGCTGCTTCTTGTGGCTGCTGCTTGTGGCTGGGCCTGTGGCTTCTGCTACTAAATTATGGAAATTTAGACCCTAATGAGGGGCGATGAAGATTTGATTTGACAAACAACCAACAAATCCAAAAGAACAATCTTGGCTGCTTTTAGTGGCAGCTTCTTTTTGCGTCTGCCGCTGATGCTGCTGATGTTGCTCCGACTCCTCTCTCTCTCTTATTGTCCTGGCCAAATAAATCAATCAAATGACAAATATGCTTAGGCAATTGTCAGGACAAGTTCTCAGGCGTTCTCTGGGTCGGGTCTCTCTCTGGGTTTTGCCCCAATTTCATTCGTGTATGTGTTGTTTTAGCCAAAGTCAAAGCCGCAGACAGACCCGTGCCCGTCCTTCCCTCCCTCCCTCCCTCCCTCCTTTGTTCATCCGTTCGTTCGTTCGTTAGTTTTCTTGTCACATTTTATAGGCCGCATATGTGGAAACATTTTTCTTTGTCGCTGTGTCTGTGGCACGTTCTTTGCTTTGGCTTACAGTTAATTTTGAGTGAAATTCAATTTATCATTGAGCGGGGCATAAATCCGTATTTGGGACCAATTTTGCCCCTCGTTACGGACACGGCACAGACACGGACTACAGGACTGCGGGACATACAGGACTCTGCGGGCTCTGCAGGCTCTGAAGGACTGCGGTACAGATGAATCAGAGCGTAGATTTATTTTCGTCGATTGTGTTTTTTTGTGTCTCACATAAGCGGAATGTTCTTTCAATTTGTCAGCCATTAGACTTGCTCTCTCTCTCTCTCTCTCCTTTGTGTCTACATGCTACGGGGCGTATGCGCAATGCATTTAATGGGATTTAGTGCTGCAACAAAATCCGAACTGGTGTAAAAGTTGTCTTGTTTATTGGCCAGAGATGTAATTGACATTTATCGCATACAGATGGCCCGAGAAGACTTGGCTTTAATGACTCTTAACGCTTTAACGCTTTGTGTGGAGAGCAGGAGAGAGAGGGAGCAAGGGAGTAGGAGAGACGGGGAAAGAGACGGCGCAAAAATGTAGATAGAGTTTCCATAGATAGAGAAAACAAAAACCCCAAAAAAAAATGAGCACACAAAAAAGTTGCCCACAACTTTTGCCATATTTTTCTTGCCGCGCCACACACACACTCGAACAATGTTTTTCAAACAATTTTTAGTACATTGCTCTTGCTGTTTTTCCACCCACATCCATGTGTGTTTGGATGTGTGCGTGTGTGTTGACAAAGGCAATTTTCAGCAGAGCTTTGATCAAAGTTTTGCCTAGGCGTAGCGGTGAGGGTGGGCGGGAGTAGCAGTAAATTAAATTTGACTTACACCCAAAAATACAGCATAAAATGCGGAACAAGTGAATAAATCTACACCATGCAGCATGTATTTCCATATATGTGGGTTTGTATGTGTATCTGTGTGTGAATTTTCCTTTATTTCTATCCATTTTCCCATCTCCCTTACCCTAATGGCGCGCTCTGAAAAAGCTTTGAAAATTGAATTTTGCTCAAATATTCGTTGCCTACTTTGGCGCGCATATCGATCAATGTGGAATGAAATTGAATTGATCTACATATCTATCTATCTATCTATCTATCCATCTTTCCATTAGTATATGGCCAGATAAAAAGTTTTTCATATTCAATTTTATGCTTTCCTTTTTACTGCATGTGCGGGTGTGAGGGGTGTGTGGAGGGTGTGTGCTTCTGTTTGATTTTGTTCCATTTGAAATGGCTTTGGGGTGCACGTTAAACTGGAAATTGGCATACAATATAGTCATCCACAATGGTCCATGCTTTTGTCTCTCTTTGTGTCTCTATCTCTTTCCTTCTCTCTTCTCTCTCTCTCTATTCATTTTCTCTCTTTCTATCTATGTGTCTGGCTGTATTTGTTTCGCTTTTGTCTTTTGTCCTGCAATAATTGAGCTTAGAAGGTCTTACGGCAGCTGCATCATTGATTTCCCACCCAACTGTCATTTGCCGCCACTCTCCATGGGGTCTGCATTGTAGCCATCCCTCCCTCTCACAGATTTCCCCCCCCCTTTTTTCGACTGCCGGTCAAAGTTTTTGCAAAAAGTTTCGCCTTTGGTTTTTCTTTCGTTTCTATTTTTGTTGGATTTTTGCTTTTAGCCCAAACTCAAACCCGAAATAAAAAGACTTCAGCGCCAGACATAGTTGAGTCGTGGCGAAACTTTTTCCATTTGCCAACAGAGTTCACTTGAATACGGAGACAGAGGAGCAGCAGCTCTCCGTTGCCTGGGTGTTTGTTGTCTCTGACAATTTTAAAGTCTCTCTTTGCACTTGCAGCAGGGCAAAATTGGGCATATATAATTAGTTTTATTTACCACCTGGCACGCAGATTTTAATTAGAATTTATATGCCATGCCAGACAGAGCCCTTCAACAATTGTCTTCCTGGGAGGAGGCTGCTACTGCCAGCCAGCCCTCTTAGCGGCAGCTACTTGGGTATTATTTCTGCCACTTTCTCTCTGTTCTCCTTCCACAGCGACTGACTGCTGGAGAAATAATGTTTCTCCATCTCCCTGTTATTTAGGCTGCTTTCTTGCTCTCTCTCGCTCTTCCTCTCTGGCAATTTGAATGCAATCTGTAATTTGAGTATTTTCAATTATAAAAGCAATCTGTGCCATAGAGCCAGGGATTAGACAATGGCCAATGGAGATGATAGTAGAATGTCCAGGAATATGAGCACTACAGCCAGCAAGAATAGATGGAGCGAATCGAGGCAAGTTGAGTGGCGATAACAATGAACGTATTAGCTTACCACTTACCAGCAGCAGCAGCAGCAGCAGAAGCAGCAGCAGCAGCAGCCAGTGAAACGGAAAGGGTGGCGATACAATGTATCGTCCCCCCACAACAATTTTGGGCGGAAAACAAGAAATGCAAAAATAGTTGCATGCACTTCAACTTGCCACAATGTTGTTGCTGTTGGCTTACGGCTTGGTTTTAATTGTCAGTTACGTTGTCGGGAGCCAAGCGGATGGGGAAACTATAGTGCATACCTTGCGTATGCATACACATTGTTGCCCGGCTGCCACGAAGCGCGGCACAACTTTGGAAGCAGTCAGTGCGTGCAGCACAAAGGGCCACTTAAAGCTGGCACACTCTGAATCGCCTTTAGAAATGGGGGATTTGCTTTGTCGGCAATGGGAGTAAGAACACGTTGCACGGTGGATGGCATGTGGCATGGCAGAATGGCCGCCAATGTTGGAAGTCTGTAATGCAATTACAAATGCAGCTGGAGTGGCTGTGGCAGCATCAGTTGGCATCTAGCCAGGTGTCAACCAAAGGGACCAACCAGCCAGCAGCTGGGAGATTTCATGCTGCTGCTGCTGCTGCTGCTGCTGCTGCTCAAGTGCTTGACTTATCAACGAAAGTGCAGCATTATAAAAATAAAGCAGGCTACTAAAGCGTTTCGCCCTTTGCACATTTGCAGGGCCATTGAGCTCTTCTCTTTATCTCCTCTATCTCTTTCTCTTTGGATCTCCTTTCCCTCCACTCTCCAGCGTGTTTGTGTGCGCCAAAGGACATAAGGAATGACCAGATAAGCACATCCCATCCCCATTGCCCACGCACAAGTGCATATGCAAATTATGTGAAGATGCTGCAGACGTGTACCTGGCTGAGTGCTTAAGCGGATACTTTTATGATTTCGCTTCCATCGCTTTCTCAGAGCTCTTCGCACTTAAAGCACTTATAGCTATACTCGACAGACTGTAATCTGCTGGTTAACAGTCGCTGGGCCTCAATTAGGGGAGAGTGATTTACCTTAAATCAAAGTCTTTCAAAACTTGTAATGGCCAGCAGATTGAATAATTATCCATTAACTGTGCTACTTATACTTAAAGCAAGACCATTCTAACCCAAACTTGCACTAAAGCCAATTAAAGCTCTCCCAACTGTCCCCTCCTTTCGTTCATCAATGCAAATGAAAGTGTTGGGCGACACTCGGACACGCACGAACATGCAAAGAGACAGACAGACAGACAGACAGAAAGACAGACATCAAACATTAAGCACTTAAAGCCATGAGCCATGCGTGGAGAGTGCGAGAGAGTGTGTGTCTTGTGGCAGGACATGTCGTGCATATCAATCACTTGTGCCCTCTGCCATTTTGGGTGGCATAAACCTATTATTTTTCTCTCCACAGCTCACTGCTGGCTCTCTTCGGTTGGCTAAGCCTGCGGCTATCAGTTCCAGTCCGAGTTGTGGTCAACAGCCAGCGATAATTCGGTGCTCCCCCACATATGTCGGGGGATTAACTGGCGCCCAGTGACCGCAAACGCAAACGCAGACGCAGACGTACATACTCGTAGGTCACTGCAAGCAGCTAATGGCAAAATTCTTTTTAATGTCTGACCTTTTCTGTGCCAAAAATAATACTAAGAGCCAGCTTAGACTCTGTAAGATATGTGTATACGACGACTATATATGTATTTCGGGTAGCTAAATTGTGAATCCTTTTGTTCATAATAATTATTGATATTCCCATTATAATTCAACCATCTACGGTTGATTGTATGTGTGTGTATATCCCACAGAAATTATTAAACTGATAAGTTATCAAAACTTCGGCCTTCATTTCTTGTGCTCAGTGTTA